GGTGGGTGGGTTGGTTGGTGGGTGGATCGGTTTGTGGGTCGGTGGGTTGGTCGGTGGGTTGGTCGGTTGGTGGTTCAGTTGGTTTGTCGGTGGGTGGGTCAGTGGGTGGGTTGGTGGGTGAGTTGGTTGGTGGGTTGGTGGGTGAGTCGGTTGGTGGGTCGGTTGTTGGGTTGTTGGGTCGGTTAGTCGGTCGGTTGGTGGGTCGGTGGGTAGGTTGGTCGGTTGGTTGGTGTTTTTATGTTTTTGAACTTTTCATTGGTTTGTTTTTGTTTTTGTTTGTTTTTGGGACATTCGTGCAACATTTAGCACTGTACCTTTGTTTTTGTGTTTATCGTGCTGTACAGTTGATCAAGCTTTTCATACATAAGACCGACTTGGCCACGTATTGAGATATTGGTCCTTGTCCTTGTCCTCAATCTCAAACCACCACCAACCAGTGTACCTTCCCTGAATCGCGCCGGCGTTGCCTACTAGACCACCAAAGTCTGCAGTGCCTGGTAGGCCCAACCGAGTAAAGATAAGTTCGGCAATTCAGGTTAGGGAGCAGCAATGGTTTAAGTCTTGCACTCGTACCTGCATCGCAAAAGCATGGTTGTGCCCGTTCTTCTGAGCACAGGCTTATTGTTTGTGGATTGGCCATTCCCTTACAGGTGACAGAGGCAGGCTTGTCGAGAAAAGAAGTGGATGAGGGAAGACATGTTGCATCTGGCTATAAATCACAGTCACTAGGTGCCCTGTCTTCACCTCTATACACGAAGTCCTCCATGCCACATAAGGGGGAACATCTTGCCCAGATAGACGAATCAGATGTTGCAAGAACACAGGGTCATCGCACAGAAACAGGTGTGGGCAGGAATACCCAGAGACTCGTAGGGGGATCTGATGAGGGGTTAAGGTCTCCATCCCGCCATCACCCTTCGAGTGGAGGAGGTGCCAACCTTGCCAATGAGATGCATCTAGCCTGGGACAAGATGGGAGATCTGCAAAGAAGATATGAACATGCAATGGATACCATAAGTGTAATCAAGGCCAATCATGCGAGAGCATTGGAACAGCTGGAGGAAGCAAACAAGGAGCTCGCTGAGGTACACACATTCACCCCCTGCCACCACATCTCCCTGTCGCCACGCACGTTAAATCCCAAATCCCAACGTCACGTACTCATCCCAAACCATGGAACTCAGTATCAGTGCAACATCAGATGCTGTTCTTCACAAAAGATGGACACAAGCAGTCCCTAGATTTGGTCCAAAGACTCCAAACTGAAAAAAGGAGAAGACACACCTTCACAACAGCTTGATGAGACCTCACTTTAGACCTTTCTACCCTCTACAAAACCCCCACCACAGTCCTGCATGTTTTCTCTGAAGTGACAGTAGTTATTTGCGAAATGTAATGTTGTAAACTTAAAAGTTCAAAAGTTGGAAAATGAGCGTTTTCCCCCTGAAAGATGTAGAAATCGATAATTGCCCCTCAAAGATGTGGGCATCACGGAATGCCATTTTGTCCTACGAACTTTGCGGGATGCCCCTGTCCAACGGCTGTGCAAATTTGTGCCATGCCCCTCGGCCTCTGACATATGGGCCCACAAAGTTCCACACTCAATTTGCCCCAGTATCACATGTGCAACTTTTGCGGCATATCCCCAGGCATCTGGGTGACAACTTCGCTGCCCACACGATGGGATTTCCTCTGCCTCTCTCTTTCTTGCACGCATGCGTGTGCCATGCGAGAGAGACCTCACTGCTCACGCACATGGCACACACACACACACATCAGAAATGAAATGAACGGAAGTATGAAGATAAAGGATGGACACAAAGACTGTATAAGCTGAAGATCTGAAGTGAAATGAACAGGAGTATGAAGCTCTGAAGAGATGCACAGGAGCATACCTTCCCTTTTACTCTGCCTCCTGAAATAACGTGCAAGTGGGCCGTGAAGGCACA